TAATGTTACAATTACTATCGTTATATATCGTTACTTTTATCGTTATCGCTATTATCGTCATTTTTATCGTTATCGCCGTCGTTATCGCTGTCGTGCGCTGTCGTCGGCTATCGTCGCTGTACTTATCGTTATGTCGTCATCGCTCTTCTAGTCCTTTTGTTTCTTCTCATTGCTACTATCGCTCTCTATCTCTCCCTCTCGCTCTCGCCATCGTTATCATTATCGTTATCACTGTCGCTATCTTTATAGTACTCCTTATCGTTATACTTATTGTTTCTTTATCGTTATCATTTTGAAGGAGAAACCAATTATGATCGAACAGTCAGTCGCATTAATGGACAAACTCGGCACTGCCTTACTATCCACCAAAGTTGTTGGTGAGGCAGAACCCAGCGTGTTTAAAACAGAGGAACTCTCCATGGTTCTTGACCGACAGACTCCGTCCGTGTTGGTAAGAAAACTTCTTCAAGTGCCCGATGGCCATAGTGGTATATCTTTTCCATCGCAGAAAGTACTGACCAAGAACTTCCCGGTCCCCGTACATTCGTTAGATGTCCAGGTAAGTGATCAATGTTGTCACTTTTGGTTCTGTTCTCTGGAACGAATTAAATCGATCAACAGCCCGTTTCAGGTTTAACACATAGGCATTTGTTAATGCATTTCGGGGCTAGTGGATAAGTGCAAATTGTTTATACAATGAATAAATTCTTGTGTTTCTCACTACTTTCACACACACACGCAAACTCACCATCGCTCGGTCAGATTTACGACGGTAGTGGAATAGCTCGTCGAACACTCACAAATAGGATTCTCTTTTGTTTCCTCGGGGAAATTCTAGCCAGCCGATTTTCTCAGCCCCAATTTCTCACTATTTTACTTTGCTATTAATGAGCGCAAGTAGACTTCGTTGCCCTTCATCAAATCGTCGAGTTTTCAGCAAAATTGTGCTTTTATAATAGACGAAATTTACGACGTAGACAAAATTTACCCCTTAGACGAAAGTGACGTATTAGAGGAAATTTCCCGTTAAGACGAAATTTACGACTCAGACGAAATTTATCCCTTAGATGAAATTTACGACTTAGANCTTTTCCATCGCAGAAAGTACTGACCAAGAACTTCCCGGTCCCCGTACATTCGTTAGATGTCCAGGTAAGCGATCAATGTTGTCACTTTTGGTTCTGTTCTCTGGAACGAATTAAATCGATCAACAGACCGTTTCAGGTTTAACACATAGGCATTTGTTAACGCATTTCGGGGCTAGTGGATAAGTGCAAATTGTTTATACAATGAATAAATTCTTCTGTTTCTCACTACTTTCACACACACACACACAAACTCGCCATCGCTCGGCCAGATTTAAGACGGTAGTGGAGTAGCTCGTCGAACACTCACAAATAGGATTCTCTTTTGTTTCCTCGGGCTAATTCTAGCCAGCCGAGTTTCTCAGCCACCAATTTCTGACTATTTTACTTTGCTATTAATGAGCCTTAGTTTGCGCGAGTAGACTTCGTTGCCCTTCATCAAATCGTCGAGTTTTCAGCAAAATTGTGCTTTCATAATAGACAAAATTTACGACGTAGACGAAATTTACCCCTTAGACGAAAGTGACGTATTAGACGAAATTTCCCATTAAGACGAAATTTACGACTCAGACGAAATTTATCCCTTAGATGAAATTTACGACTTAGACGAAATTGACGACTTAGACGAAATTTACGATTAAGACGAAATTTAGCCCTTTCTGAGGAAAAAGGCTCACGTTAACCTTTAGAGGTTTGTCACGTCCAAGAGATGTAGCGTGTTCTGTCACTTCCATGTAAAAATACCCAAACAGAGGCTCATTAACTTTGCTTCACAAACATTTTGCCATATTTTCTTTTTTCCTTTCTCTTAACTGCTACTCAGAATTTTTTTTAACAATTAGATTGACAAGTTAGCGTTAAGGGTAATATTTTGGTTTAATTTTGTTTATTTACTCAAATTTCTTTAATACTTTTTTTTTCTTATTCTCTCTTTTTATTAAACTAGATATTGTTTACAGTAATAGTAGCTCGCCCCGAATAGCTTTGCTTGCTGCGAGCTACTAAAGCTTGTAAACTTATTATGTATCAGTAAAAATTGATGTTACTGCTACCGTAACTGCTATTTCAAATAAACTTGGTTTCCGATCTCGAAAATCCAGCATGTCAATTAAGTGTGGATGCAAAATTTAGAAAGAGGGCGGCGACCAAAGAAATTGCCGCAAAGCTCAAGCCACCCCAACCTCTCCCCTCCCGCCCCGAACCGAATGAGAAATTCCCCTGCAAAGACGGTTGGCCAAATTTGCTCTTTTAATATGATGCAAGTAAAAAGGGGGCAGATGTCACCTGAGAGCTGGAATTACCGTCACGAAGAAATATAACATTACAACTGTTCTCAATTCCTCTACAGGTAATAACATTTGAATCAAACCCATTCCTTTGGGACATAACTTCTGAGAACGTCACATCAGACGTGCTGGACGTCAGCATAAAGACAAATGGGAGTCATGTTCAGTTTTCCCAGCTTGAGGAGCCCTTTGAACTGTTTATTCCGTTAAAAAACCAGAAAAAGCAAGGGACAGATGACAACTTTTTCGTGAAATGGAGCAATAGTTTTGAAAATATTCGCTACCACAAAATAGTTATTCCATCTGATGGAGCAGTTGCTGTTATTAATATTGTACCTGTAGAAAACAATTTCTTAGATGTTTTTATTAGTGCTGGATTCAGGCCTACTCCCGAGAACTACACCTATAGTACGTATGTACCCAATTATTCATATTGCAGAAAGGTTGCTTCTAGTACTGACTCCGAGCAGTGCAGTTCCATATCGCCCTACAGATTGCTTGTGTCAAGCAGTCTGACTGGTGCATCAGGAGATCATTACATTGGAATTTTGTTGTATAAGAACTCCTCTGGCGATCTGAGAATGAATGACACAAGTTCAAAAGGGAATGTTCACAGACGCCATTCGCGATCCATCTGTAATAGTAAGAGTGGTCGCAAAAAGCGTTCCTGTATTGGAGTGAAAGATCCTCCAAACACCCCTCAACCCAAACCAAAGATCATCAAACCGCCATACAACTCAACTGTTGATGTTAACTACACGATGTCTGTATGGATCAGTAGCTGTTTGTATTGGTCGAAGGAGAAACAACAATGGACAAACGACGGATGTAAGGTGATTAGGGTGATTATTACTGCAATTAGAACAAGACTTAACAATCAGTGACATCAGCGAGCGATCAGTGAGTAATCAACTGATTAATTATTGATTTTTACGATGATCAGATATATTATTTTAGAAAACAGTCGTAAGAAAATACGCGCGCTGATTGGTTAAAAATCGTGTTTCTATTACTCGATGAAAACACAGAACTAGCACGAGCTGTTGACGTAATGATGGCGCGTGCAAAGAAAATTTACATTTTGATCAAAGTGAACAAGTTGTTTTCCTTTTTTTTGTCGCAGTGTTTTCTAAAAGAAATAGAAAACACGTTCTCCGTGTTTCTACCGAGTTATAGAAACACGATTGAAAGTTTGGTAGAACTCGAATAAGCTGTGGAAACACTCGCCTGCGGCTCGTGTTCCCACAGCATTTCTCGTTCTCCCAAACTTTCACTCGTGTTTCTATAACTCGATAGAAACACGG